TACACAGCAGGCTTCTTCTTGAAATCCACCGAACGTAAATCATCCCCAATTGGCATTGCATTGGCATTGGTTGGCAATGGATTGGCATCGCATCGGCATGAATTGGCCTGTTGCAGGAGATAGGCAGAGAGAGACAACGATATTAATAAATGAAGAGAATAGCGCAGAAAAGAAATTAGCCAAGCGAAGGGCCCAACCATACGCAGTGGTGAATACAGCAATTGTGAATACCATCTTCGCCCGCGCTCCCTATGCGGCCCCGGTTTGCCGCCGGAGCCCGACATGCTCAGGAACACGTTCGTGGCTGTCTTCGCGGGCGCCGACGACGACAAGGACGGCTTCCCTCTGACCGAGGAGCACAAGCAGGAGAGGGCTTTGGGAACCATGAGGGAGGAGGTTGCGTTGTACGTCGACACGGCGGAGCACGACGCCCAGGCGCGGTTGTTGAAGAAGCGCAACTATGGAGCCACTATCCTCGTGAGGGGTGTGTCGCAATGGCCCGAGGCCGCCATGCGAACCCTGCCATTGGCGCCTTCGGCGGAGCTCCTGTAGGGTCACGATCCTCGTGAGGGGTGTGCCAAAATGGCCCGAGGCCGCCATGCGGACCCAGCAGCTGGCGCCTCCGGTGGAGCTCCCTATGGGGCCACGATCATGGTGATGGGCGTGCCGAAATGGCCCGAGGCCGCCGTGCGAACCCTGCCACTGGCGCCTTCGGTGAAGCTCCCTGTGAGGCCACGATCCTCGTGAGGGGTGTGCCGGAATGGCCCGAGGCCGCTACGCGAACCCTGCCGCTGGCGCCGTCGGCGGAGCTCCTTTTGAGGCCACGATCCTGGTGATGGGTGTGCCGAAATGGCCCGAGGCCGCCACGCGGACCCTGCCGCTGGCGCCTTCGGTGGAGCTCCCTATGGGGCCACGACCCTCGTGAGGGGTGTGCCGAAATCGCCCGACGCCGCCATGCGGACCCTGCAACTGGCGCCTTCGGTGGAGCTCCCTATGTGGCCACGATCCTCGTGAGGGGTGTGCCGAAATGGCCCGACTCCGCCATGCGAACCCTGCACGATCCTCGTGAGGGGTGCGCCGGAATGGCCCGAGGCCGCTATGCGAACCCTGCCACTGGCGCTTTCGGTGGAGCTCCCTATGGGGCCACGATCTTCGTGAGGGGTGAGCCGGAATGGCCCGAGTCCGCCTTGCGAACCCTGCCACTGGCGCCTTCGGTTGAGCTCCTTATGGGGCCACGATCCTTGTGAGGGGTGTGCCGAAATGGCCCGAGGCCGCCATGCGAACCCTGCCACTGGCGCCGTCGGTGGAGCTCCCTATGGGGCCACGATCCTCGTGAGGGGTGTGCCGAAATGGCTCGAGGACGCCATGCAAACCCTGCACCTGGGACCTTCGGTCGAGCTCCCGATGGAGCCACGATCCTCGTGAAGGGTGTGCTGAAATGGCCCGAGGCCGTTATGCGAGTCCTGCCACTGGAGCCTTCGGTGGAGTTCCTATGGGGCCACGATCCTCGTGAGGGATGTGCCGAAATGGCCCGAGGCCGCCATGCGAACCCTGCCGCTGGCACCTTCGGTGGAGCTCCCTATGAGGCCACGGGGCCACGATCCTCGTGAGGGGTGTGCTGGAATAGCCCGAGGCCGCCGTGCGAACCCTACCACTGGAGCCTTCGGTGGAGCTCCTGATGGGGCCACGATCCTCGTGAGGGGTGTGCCGAAATGGCCCGAGGCCGCCATGCGAACCCTGCCACTGGAGCCTTCGGTGGAGCTTCCTATGGGGCCACGATCCTTGTGAGGGGTGTGCCGACATGGCCCGAGGCCGCCATGCGAACCCTGCCATTGGGGCTTTCGGTGGAGCTCCCTATGGGGCCACGAAGCGCTGCACTGGGTGGGTGAAACGCAGGGAGGAGGGAGGAGGAGAGGAGGAGGAGGAGGAGGAGGAGGAGGAGGAGGAGGAGGAGGAGGGAGGAGGCAGCGGGAGGAAGGAAGCAGGGAAGGAGTGACGCGGGGCGCAGTCTCTTCAAAACGAGGACCCAACTTCACAGGATGGTTGGGAAAAAACAATAAAATGCCACTCACCAAAGAGAGGCGGAGGAGCGTTTCACTTAATACAAAACCATGTGAAAACGACGAGGTCCCTTACAATCCCCGGGCCTCGAGGACATGGGGGAAGGCGCAGGGAGGATAATGATTGTGGCGGAGGACACGGAGCGAGGATGGAGGGCCGAGGTTGACGAGAGAGGCTCTTTGCATGGAGGGAAGAATGGCCAGCAAGGGGGCAGGAGGGAGGACGTTGCAGGGAGGATGACGGAGGAGACGGGAGATCATTGACCAAGTTTTCAGGGGGAGGAGGAGGAGGAAGAGGAGGCGGAGAAGGAGGAGGAGGAGGAGGAGGAGGAGGAGCAGAATATGGAAGAGGAGCGAGACAGGACAGAGCAGCGTAGAGGGAGACAGGGGGCCGCCCTGACGACGCCCGCCCTCATCCACCTCCTCACGTTCCGCCTCCTCCTCCTCCTTCTCCTCCTCCTCTTCCTCTTCATCCTTCCCTACTCGCTTTCATCATCCTCCCTTCCACTTCCTTCTTCTCCTCCTCCTCTTCCTCCTCCTCCGCGGGCAGGTTCGCAAGGGTGCGCCGATGCCCTCCCTCGACTCAATCTCCTCCTCGTTGTCCTCCTCCTCCTCCTCCTAGGACGTGGAGGGATTGACGTGGAGTGGCGGGGAGGAAGAGAGAGAGAGAGAGACAGGGAGGGAGAGAGAGAGAGAGAGAGCGTAAGAGAGAAGGAGAAAGAGAGAGAGAGAGAGAGGATGACGAGATGAGGGCGAATACTATAATACCTCCCCATCGCCGTTTTGCGCCGCCCCGGCCACGCCCGACCTGCCGTTTCTTTCCGTTTTGTTTTTCTTGGTTTCGTCTTCTTCTTCTGGCTCCTTCTCCCCCCCCTCATCCTGTTCACCCCCGAGCTTTCGTGGGTTCTCCGCTCCCCCCCTGCGGCATCTTCAGCTTTGTAGTTTGAATATCGCTCTGCATCGTTTTTCTTTCCCTGATTATGATTCCTCCGTTTCGGTTTCGCCTGGTTATTGGTATGATTATTCCATGTGTTGCATGGGGAACCTTTCATCCATGAGGCAGATGCATCTTTTCCGTGTGCTCAAGACAGATTGGGCAAACATCATCGGTTAGAGGTGCTACTTCGCTCGGGATTTGCTGGCCGACCTACTGGATGTTCTCTTCGGGTTCGGGATCGACTGTTAGATGGTAAGCAGATCTGGAGGGTGTGGAGGTACAACGAGGGGGGGGGCATGGCGGGCAGGTTGGGCGTTAAGAGGTGTAAGTTTTCGGCGAGTGATGTGACTAGTGCTGCCAATGCGCTCATCGAGTCCCCAGGTGGAGGTGGACGCGCTGCTGTGTTTCGTTGTTCTGGGCGTGTGTGCGTTCGTGGTTGGTGAGTTTCCGTGTCAGCCAGTGCGGCTGTTAGTGTTTGACGCAAGCGCGGGGACAAGGGGTATCACCGAAGGCGGTCTACCCGACGTCGACGTCAGCGTCGAGGACCTCGATGGCGGGGCAGAGGGCCATCGAGCAGCGGAATGCCAGGAAAAGGCAGTTCGGCGATGTCATCCAGCAGCAGGCGAAGAACCGCGTCACCCCCGCGGCAGCCCAGGTGATGTCAGAGAAAGACAATCTGAGGGAGCAGGACGCCAGGCTGCTCAATCACACATTTGCGGAAGAGGACGGACGCAGGGCGGGCGGGAGCGGGCGCCCCAGAGGCGAGCCAGGGGGTTGGCCCAGGCGCTGCTACATCCGCTTCGCCTGCAGCTTCGCTGCAGACGCAGGGGCGGGCCCTTGCCGCGCCGAGCGTCAGCGATCCTGAAGCCACGGCCCTCGTTGCCAGCCGCTCTGGCGAACTCGTCGAGGCAGCGCTTGCGAAGGCGACCATGGACAAAGGATTCACGGCCGCGCGACAGGCTGAAGCCCTACCCCCACCCTTGGCGAGACCATGTGGCTGGCGCAGCCAGCGCCTGCGAGAACAGCGCCAAGCACCAGAAGGGGCGCCAGCATCCACATGCGCAGTATTACCAGATGCGGGCCCAAGGTGGTGGATCATGCCGAAAAGTGGCGGCAGTCTTACGACGTTGTCGGCGTGCGGACACCACGCTGGGTCAGATGACGCCAGTGACAGCGGAGGCAGCAGAGTCAGGGCAGGACGACGGCCCGTCATCCTTCAATGCCCAGGGGCAGCGCTCTGAATGCTGGCGGGGCCCGGATCACCGCCAAGGAGAGCTTCATTGCCATGTTCGCAGCGCACCGCCCGCAACGTCACGCTGCCAGCGCAGGCGCCGCACAGAAGGACCATTTCGAAAGGGGGCCCATCGATCTCCACGATGTCTCCGCCATCAGCATTCGCACCGCGTGGCAGCAGGTGGTATTCTTCGAAATCTACTTGGACCACGGCTTCGGCGTCATGAACCGCAACTTTCGCATGCTCCGCGCGTTAGGAGGTTTCCTTCAGGCGCCAGCGGCGCCGCGGAGGGGGGATTCAGCGACTCGTATGTTCAGCCAAAGTCTTTCAGCCATTGGATGGAGGAAGTGGGTGGGAATCAATTAGTTCCAAACGTTGTGGCGACCAGTCTCGCAGGCGAGGGGCGCTTGTATGATTGCGCCAGCTGTGTCACAGACCTTGCACCTGTGATTCGCTCAGCCACATTCATGGGCGGCGAGTAGAAGGCCCATGCAGGCCCACAGTTGCGCCTAGGTCTGGACGCAGCTCCGCTTGGGCTGGCTACGTCCATGGTGTTCCTCCTCCTCCTCCTCCTCCTCCTCCTCCTCCTCCTCCTCCTCCTCTCTTCTCCTCGCCTCCTCCCCTCCCTCCGCCGACGGCCGCCGCCGACGTTGCCGACATCGTCGACGACCCACTGCCGTCCAGGGCCCGCCCGCCCACCGCGCGGCCCGGCGCCCCCCCCCCCCGCCCCCACACCCGGCGCGGGCGCGGGCGTGGCCGCCGCCGGCCGATGCCGGCGGCCCCCTCCGGCACCGCGCCCCTCAGGCGCGGCGCCGCGCGCCGAAATTCGGGCCGGGCGAAGGGGGGGGATTGGGAAGGGGGGGTTTACGAAATCTGCTGCATGCAGCTGGTTTCGGCCCCACCGAGGGGCCCATTCCTCGATGCATGGCCGCCTCTGGCGCCGGGAGGCGCGGGAAAATCAGCTACGTAAGCTGATTCTCAAACCCCCCCTTTGCTATCCCCCCCTTTCGCCCGACCCGAAATGATGGCGGATAAGAGGGGCGGGGCGGGCGTGGGGTGGATCGCCGGAGGGTCGCCGGCGGATCGCGTGTGGGTCGTGGGGTCGGCCATGGGCGAGGACGACGACAACGCAACAACAACAACAACAATTACTAGCACGTGGGGACACACCGTTCTCACCAGTGCCAGGGTTTTCATAGGAGGCGGGCAATACCCCCACTTTGTGGGGGGGCCGGTTCAAGCTCTACCAAATTTCCAAACGACTCTTCGCCACCACCCACACCCAGCTTCCCGCCCTATGACGTTCGGACACTTCACTTCGTGGCATGCGGACGACCGTGGCTACTATTCAGGGCCCCGCGGCCGACGACGACGGCGTGCGCGCGCGAAGAAAAAACGAATGTGTCCCGCATGGTATTATTTGACAGGGATGATGGCCCTGGCAGGTGCGCAACCGTTGTTGCAGAAGTTCGAAAAAGTTGCTCGCAAAAGCCCGTTTGACAGAAATGATTAAAAAGTGTTGGGTTTCCTACAAATCCGCAAGAGCGCGCGGGATGAAATTTTGACAATTCTTTGAAAAAACCATTTTTTTATGTTTTTTATGTTAAAATCGCTACGAAAACTAAGGTTTTGGAAGGATTTCGTCTTGCGCGCGCGAGTGTGCACTTCGTGTCATGTTTTGCAAAGGATTCTTGAAGTTTGGTTATGTTAGAACAAGACATGTCATTTTATGTTGTTTTTTGACAAGGAAAGCGGGCGTCAACAAAACAACCGGATCCGGACTCCCCCGTTTTGCCTGAGACTTCCTCACGAAAATGATGAAAATGTGGCTGCGGCCTAGGCGCGGCGAGGGGGGCGTGCACCAGGGGGCCCAACAATAATTATTCTTTAGAAGTAATAATATTCAACAACAACAACAACAAGCACAACAAGCACAACAACAACAACAACAACAACAACAACAACAACAACAACAACAACAACAAAACGGGATCCGCCACAAGGAACGCCACTTTTGCTACGCACCCAGGGAACATGGATGACCGTTCGGACCCTCACTCTGACGACCCAAGAGAGCCCCGACACGACCCCAAAAATCACAGAGGCCCAAGAGGAAGGCATCCAAACATGCTTCAAGCAGGGCTAAAAAAGGGAAGAGTGCATATTCAAATTGAGATTTTTCTCCTGGGATGGCACCCGAAGTCTCCGACGCGCCTTCCCGGCGGCGCCTACGGCGCCGCCAGTCATGGGGGCCAGCGCTGATCCAAGAAGGCCGTGCGGATATACGAAAGTTTCTGTTTAATTATGTTGTTTTTTCGTCTTCGAGCCGCCGCCGATCCTGGGGGCCTTCAGACGGCGCGGAGGCCCAGTCGTCACAATTGTGACCTTCCCCTGCGTTTCTGGTCCTTTTTGCCCCTCCTGGGGGTTCCTCGTCGCCACGATTGGGTCCCAGGTCCTGATGGACCACAGGAATGGTTCGGGGACCGGTCATGAGCGGATTTGGGCTGGGCAGGAGTCGGAGGTTCCCAGACGTTGCGGTGACCACACAGTTTGGCGGCGAGGCAGTGGGGAATCGGAGTTTTTTGGCTTTGTCGTTGCTTCCTGAGGATTTTCGTGGGATCTGAGGTGACCGCATGGTTTGGGATTTGGGTCGGTCTCCAAGGCTGTCGGAGGTTCTTGGGGCCTCCATGGCCGAAGCGGTGACGGACCGTGCGTTGAGGTCTTCTGAGGGGATACCGCACGGCTTGTCACCGAACCGTATTGTCGGGCGCGGCCAGGGGGAGGGTGATGATTTTGTGTGCGTGTGTATACGTGTGTGTATGTGTGTGTGTGTGGATAGCATGGCCGTGGCCATGATCTCTGCCCCGACTTCATGGCCCCGCTTCCTGACGAGCGAACAACACACACACACCCATACCCATCGCCCGGTCGGAGGGAGAAGGCCTGGCTACGGGTACGGGTGCGGGTTGTCGGCCCCTGTGGGAGGCTTCCGTTCGAGCGGGGACCTACATCCGACAACACGCACCCATAGCCCCCTATAGCTCATGGGTAGTTATGGGTGCGTGTTGTTCGTTCGTCATTTTCTTCATTCAGCACGTTCCCTGGTCCGACCCTCTTGGACGCCCTCGATTCTTTACCCCCCCGGATTAGTTATGCAACTGTGGGGGTTGTGCTGAAAGAACGTCAGGGGGGCTTCACTAGGGGTGATTGTTCATCCCGGGTCCGTTTCTGACGGAGGCCCCAGGGTGCCGCCCTCGACACCAGCAGACCCCCAGCTTTTCGGGCCGGACGAAAGGGGGGCACTTGGGAAAGGGGGGGGTACGAAATCTGCTGCCAGCAGCTGAGCAGCTGGTTTCGGCCCCACCGAGGGGCCCCTTCCTCGATGCATGGCCGCCTCCGGCGCCGGGAGGCGCGGGAAAATCAGCTGCGTGAGCTGATTCTCAAACCCCCCCCCTTTGCTATCCCCCCCTTTCGCCCGACCCGAGCCAGGGCCGGGGGGTCGTAGGCCCCGGGGTGCAGCCCGCGACACCAGCAGGCCCCCCAACGGTTGGAGCTGGCTGGGGCGATGTCGGTATCGTTTAACCGATCCCCATCCCCATCCCCATCCCCTTCGAGACCCCCACCAAGTCACCACCCCAATTGGGGATGCACCCCTCGAAACCCGAAGGGAACGGCCCATATCCCCATCTAGGGGGTGAATCGGCCAGTGGGGCCCAGGCCACGCCGCTGGGGATGGGGATCGGTTAAATGATACCCAGTTTGAGGTGGCCCAGCACTGGTTCCGGCCAGCAGCGAGGGGGGTCGGCCACTGGTCTGCGGGCAGGTTCGAGTTGCCAGGTTCGACGAGGTCTCTTGCTTGTGTCGGTCTCCAGGGTCCGCTTTCGGGCCCAGGTACAATCAAAAACGGATCCGAAATGAAAAACTGCACCAGATGGACCCCAGGAGGGGTCTGGCGACAGAGTTGAAGCGGATTTGCATTCCCCCCCCCCCTTGGAACGGAATGTCGGGGGGGCCTGGCACCATCCAAGACCCCCTGGTAGCCTCTCGAAGAGCAAAGAACGGCATGACCATGAATTTTCGTATGTCCGCGCTCGGTTCCCTTGTTGGCGCCTCTGGCGCCGCCCCTGGCGCGCTATGTGCGCCAGGGATGGGGGGTCCAGCGCCGATCCAAGAAATTGCGCGGACCCTAAGAGGAATTGTGTTCATGCTGCTGTTTGTCCTTCTACCAGCAGATCAAGGAAAAGCACCTGACGTCCCCCCTCTACGTCGGCGTCGCTGATGTCGACGGCGGGCTGGCGGCGGCGTCGGGCGAAGACGAGGACGAATGAATGACGGAGGAGGATGAGGAACCGCCCAAACACATTGTTTTGTGTCGCGGCCGCGCGCGCAGCCACGACGGATGCTGTCGAAGAGTCGGAGGGGGCCCAACACATGCACTTTTTTCGTCGGCGGCGAGGCAGAGGCAGTCCGCTCCAGCGTGAGGCTAATCGGGACAACCGGCATGCAAGTTATCCGCCGTGCAAGCCCAACACATGCACGCACAGCCGCAGAACACATATAACTGTAAGCTTTGACATGGTTCGAGGGGCCCCCGCTTCGTCCGCCCTGCCCCCGCTGCGTCTGCAGGGCCTCCATTGCTTTTGCAAGGCAGACGCTGCCCATGTGGTGGCGCCTTCCCCACGGTGGGAGGCTTGTCAATCTGGGCGTTCAGTGCGCGCTCCGCCCCTTCCCCGCTCTCTCCTTGCAGTCCTTCACCTCAGTCGCGGCCGACCCAGCCCCGCCTTGCGTCTCCCCCTAGGGCCCCCCCCCCCGCGCTGGCTTCCGGACGTCGGGGTCGGTGTGGACGTTGTCATTGAATTTAGTGCAGCTCACGCTAAAGCTGCTCGTAAAGGGTGCAGGCTCGTTGGCATCATTTCAATATTTTGAGATGTGTGCATCCGTATTCAATATCTAGATATGTATGTATGTACGCATATGTACTTCGTTGTATCTGGCAAGCGTTCGTCCTGCACTTGCCGTATATTCGCTGCGAAACTTGCCTTGGGAATGCCGCGCCTGGCTCATTGATGGTCTCTGCTTGTAGCCGGCAGGCGAAGCTCCCCGTTGATTTGTGAGCCATGCATGGTGGCCCCCAAGGTGCGCCGATAACCTTACGATCCTGTGCCGCAAACCTGACTGCGCGAAGGTACCGAGGCAGCAACTGGCTGCGCCAGCGCCTCTGCCTCTCCACGGTGAGCGGCCGGCCGGTGGTCATCACCGACATCCGGCCTCGGGACGAGGAGCCCGGCCTCAGGGACTTCGAGGCCCAGAGCTTGCTCCGGCTGCTTCTTTTCGGATGCAACTCCTGGCAGGTCAATTTCTGATTTTGCCCTGGTCCGAAATCCGGCTTAATCGGGCTTAATCCCGTTTAATCCTGCTTAGTGCCGCTTAATTCCGCTTAATCCGGTTTAATCCCGCTTAATCCGAGGCCCACTCCGGCGTATCAGCTCCCAAATTGGGCTTAATCCTCCTTATAATCCTTCCGACGAAAACCTCCCAGTAGTTGCCTCCTATTTTCTTGCCTTCCCAGGTCGAGGACTGAGGACCGAGGTGCTCTGGGCGTCCTTGCCATCCAGGCGGGGTCTCTGGAGGGCAGTGCAGACCTCGAGAGGCGTCGGGGGGCTTCTGTTGTGAAGGACGACCAGTGGAGAGGAAGCATGTTGCAAAATAATTCTCAGATGTCTAAAACATGTAAGCGGCATGTTTAAAACATGTTTAGAACATGTTTCCTACATTTTAAACACATTTTAAACTCAATGGTAGGACTGTTAGGGTGTCCATTGCCGTGGCATCCACAAGGCTTCTGGTGACCACCTCCGCAGACTTGCCCTTGACCTCTGGGTACGTTCTTTGACGTTCTTTGCCGTTGTGATGTTTGCTGTCTTTTTGCGATCTTCTTGGGGGGTCGACGTGCCCACCTCTGAATGCAGCTGGACAAACTGGCCAGCATGGTGGTTTTCTCGGTTTGGCACGGGGGCTGACTCTGATCGAACAGCGGTTTACCCACCCGCATACCTCCAGACGCTGTGAGAAGGTGACGGTGCACGTAGTCTCACAGCTTTGAATGTGGAGTAGCGCTTCAAGTCCTGGGGCCATCAGAAAACTACCTGGGGCGAATAACCAGTCCTGGGGATTGGGGCGAGAGATTTTGGCCTCACGCCACGCCACGAACATTATGACACATACCAAGCAGCAGTTGCGAAAAGATCGAGCGAGAGAACGAGAAATATTGAGAGAGAACCAATGACAAGCACGCTTGCCAGACATCCTGCGGGGTCTTTTGAGCGACAGGAGCGGCATGGAGCCACCACGGAGCCATGTGAGGAAGTTCAGCGCCGCGACTGGGAGGGCCAACCCAGGATGCTAGAGGAATCTCCAGAAGCTTAGTTGTTTTAAAAACGCTGGGGACGTTTTGGTGGTTTTCCACTTTTCGCTTTTGATCTTGCCACAACGTGTTACATCCTGCACGCCAGAAAGTGGGTGTCAGGCAGGCGGCACTGTGACGTCTTAAAAACGCATGGACCAGGCGCGACCCCAATAAGGGGAAAGCCTACTGCATGGGCGCATCGCTTGGCGCATCGCTTGACGTTGCTTGGTGTTGCTTGGTATTGCTCGGCAGTACTGGTACTGGTGGAGGGGGATGTCGGCTGCAGAGCCTCCCCTCGCCCCTCCTGCAGCAAAGAAAACCCCCACCCCCGACCTCCGATTTTATTACAAGCCCTGCCAACATGGAGAGGGAGGGGTAGGGCGGGGGAGGCGAGGGGTGGGGCCCACTTACATACGAGTGCCACAGACACCCACCCGAACGAATAAAACTGGGGGCGGAAGCGTTTTTGGGGGGGTGGTCTTCCACCAACGTGCTCCTTGTGTCCCGAAGCCACTCCCACACGCGCACGCGCACACATGCATACCCGCCCTGTCCAACTGGTACTTCGGATGCTCCAAAGGGCCCCCTTTTCCAGCGTGCCATGCCCGAGTCCTGCTCGGCCCCCGCCGCTCGGCCGAGGAGGGTGGAGGTGGCGGAGAGGAGTGCTGGCGCCGCTCCCGGCCCGGGGTCCCGACAACGCCACCACGTGGGCCCCCCCAGTACTCCTGCTCCTACCCCCAGTTTACACGAGAAAAACTGTGCAATTCCCGAGGCTACCTCCACCCCGGCCGCCCGCCCCGAGAGGGAGGGGTAGGGGAGGGCCTGGTGCCGCCCCGGCCCAGGATACCGAAAAAAACACCACACCATGGGACCCCCCCGCCCCTGCCGCCAGGAAAAGGACTGTGCAATTCCCGAGGCTAGCTCTACCTCGGCCGCCCGGCCCGAGAGGGAGGGGTAGGGGAGGGCCTGTTACCACCCCGGCATGGGATACCGAAAAAACACCACACCATGGGGCCCCCCCCTCCCCTGCCCCTCCAGCCCTGATTCGAAAAAACGCAAACAAACCGTGCCATTCCTGAGCCTAGCTCGGCCCCCGGCCGCGCGGACGAACAAGGAGGGGAGGGGATGAGTCGCTCGGCCGGCCGGCGGCGCCCTTCTCTTCGCACAGCGTGAGGGTCTCGCAATTTTCTGATCTCTGAATAACCTATTCCCCACGGATGGGGCGGCCACGTCCTATGGTGGCCCTTCGCGCGCCTAGCGCTCCGCCCCCCCCGCCCCTGCCCCTACCGCCCCTGCCCCCCTTCGCCCCCTGCACTGCCCTCCCCACGGAGACGCCCACCCGGCACAAGACCTAAGCCCCAGCTCACTGGCGCCTGCGCTTCGCCGCGCGCTCCGTGTCAGTCGGGGGGAAGAAGAGCAGGATGTGCTTGTCCTGGGTGGGGAGCGCCGTCAGCGCGGGCGCCCCACGCGCAGGCTCCCCGCACGAAAGGCGCAGGGGGCGATCGAGCTGCTCGATGATGTCGGCCACCTTCAACGACGGGTTCGGGAACCGAAAGCGAAGCTTAAAGTTCCCGTCCGGGACGCGCGTCCCGCCAACCATGGTGGTGTTCGCATGGACGTTCTGGAGCCCGCCCGGCACCGTCAGAGCGTCCTGCAACTGCCTCAGGAGCCCGAGCGCCGGCTGGAGCTCCGGCGGCCCGGTCACCGGGCCCACCAGGTCCGGCGGGAAGCCCAGCTGGGCCGCGAGCTCGGGGATGAGCGCCCCCGCAACGCCCGCCTTCATCTCGCCCCACTTCTTCTGCTGCAGCACCTTGGTGCGGTGGAGCTCCTTCAAAGCTGCACTGCCCACCACAACGAGCTCGCGATGCTTCGACAGGTCATCCAGCCGGGCCTCCGTGCGCTTCAAGCGGCGCTCAAACTCGTCCTGGCGCTCCTGCATCTTGGCGACAGACTTGGCGGGCATTCCTGGCTCGGGGGCGGGCGCGCCGGAGAGCGCGCGGGGCGGGTAGCGGTCGGGGCGCGCGGCGGGCCGGCCCTAGGCGAGAGCTGCGCCGTGCCCGAGCCAGAATATCGCCATGATGACGGTGCCGGCGGGTGCTCTCCCTTCCCCCACGGCCCCGTGCGCCCCTCCCCACCCGGGAGCGCACGCGCGATAGGCAAAGTGGTCCAGGGGCGGCGCTGGCCCCCCCGGAGCTCTCGCGTGTGAGATAAGGATCCAGGGTCCGCTGGCCAATCGAGCGCTCGCGGAGCGGCCCTATGCAACTTGTCACAACAGGCGCACCCGTCAGCCAGGACAGGGGTACAAGACCCCTCGCCGTCAGGGGTTCAAGGCCCCCCTCCCCTGGGAGACGGTACAAGACCGCCTCCCCGCGCAAGGGGGGAGACCCGCGAACGGGCGACGACGACCCAGCTGCCAGGACAAAGCCCAGCGCAAAAAACCTCCGGCCACTCCGCTCACGGACATGCCCCGGCTAGCGGCGAACGCGCTTCGGCGCGGGTTCCGCGACCCGTCCTGCGGGACGGCGGCGTACTGTCGGGCCTGCGCCACCTCCAGGCCCCGCGGCCGCTGGGGCCACTGCCGCCGGCCTGCGGCGGGCAGCGGGCGCGGCCGGGCCTGCCGGGACCGCTGCGACGGCGCCACCCCCCCCTCCCGGCGGGGGCGCCCCCTGGCAATGGAGTTCGTGGTGGACCAGGGCCCGCGGGAGTTTCACTCCCAGTGGTACGTCGTCCACCTGCTTGCCACAGTGGACACACGTGCAGTTCGCCGTTATAGACCCTCTGCACACCTCCTCGTGGATGGACCTCTTCCCTTCCGGGAGCAACTTCCCACACTTACGACACTTGTCGCGCCCCGGAGGCACGCCCCATTCGTGCACGGGGCGCACGCAGCGACGAAAATGATTTCCCATGAGTCGCGCGGGCATTTCGGCGCCACATTTCTTGCACCAGTCCATTTCCTCCGCCGGTGCCTGCGCGGGGTGGGGGCCCGGTCTCAATGCCGTTTCCGGGATGGACCATCGCCGCGAGTCTGCACTGATAAATCCCCTGGCCCCCCGATCCGCGCAGCGGTCCGCCAGTTCGTTCCCGTGGTCCCCCGTGTGTCCGTAGACATGCGTCCATGATAACACTCTCCTCTCCTCCACTTGCCGCGTAAGCTCGCGTACCTGCGCCGCCAGTTCTTCGTTCGCCTTGGGCTCCCACACCCCCTGCGCGATGTTCGCAGCATACTGTGAGTCGAAAATGATCTCCACCGGCACGTCCCCAGAGTCTGGCGCCTCTCTCAGAAGCCACAACATCGTCTCGCCGATCGCAGATAGCTCACCCGTGTTGTTCGTCTTCTCGCGAGCCCCAATCCACCGGGGGTCCCAAACCTCTGTTACAACGGGCGCATACAAGCTATATTCTGGTACGTCGTTTTCGACCGGTGTGCGAAACACCACAGCTCCCCACCCCGCCACTCTTACGAGGCGCCCCCCAATTGTGGCCTCCTGTCCGGACCCATCAGTATACACCACCCATCCCGTCGGCGGCGGCAACGGAGGGCCGTGGTGCACCACCCACAACCCCGACGCCCCTGCTAACTGGTCCTCCCTCCTTCTCTGTCGCGCTGGACAAGCGTGGGCCCGCAGCTGTTCCCTGCTCGGAAAGTGCACCTTGCACTCCGGGCACTGGTGAACGAACCCCGTGGTGATCACGTCCGGGTCACAAACCGCGTGCTCCGCGTTATAATGGAATCGCATGGAGTTCGGAGCATCAAAAACTTGCCCACACGCCGGACACTCGCATGGATTAGGCCCCGCGTCCGTCCTCCTCCTCTTCAGGACATATCCCTCTCCAGCAGGGCGAACCACGGGAACTGGCCTCCCTGGGCACCAGCGGTCCAGCGCGGCCTGTTGCTCCGTCGTCAACCGCGGCGCTGCCCCCACTGTGGCCACTGTCCTTTTCCACGCTTTGCGCAAGAGCGCCTTGCGAAACCAGTCCAACGGCGACAGGTCGGCGTGATCTAGCACGCGCTCCAACCAAGTCGGCTGTAGAATCCCCACGCCCGCCTGCCGGCTCGGGCCCGCCCACCCATACAGCGCCTGCTTAGGTCGTCTGTATACTGGCATGCGCGCCACGTGCCCGAGCCATGCGAGGCTCTGCCGCGCAATGATGTCCACCATCGTCTCCCATCCGGCTGCTGCGTACAATTGGGCGTCCGTGACGTGGTGTTCCTTCAACCTGTGTACGTCCATTCCCATAGCCTTTCGCACTGCAAAATGTGCCACTCTCTGCGCCGACCGCAACTGTCTCTGTGTCCAGGCCCGCGACTTGCAGAACGCCACCATGGTAGGCACCGCGGCCGCTTTCATAATGGCCAAGCGGACGTGTCGGCGCACGCCGCTCCGATCCCCTCGGCCGTACGGGCCTTCGGATTTCCAGGCTTGGCGAACCTCGGCCACCTTGGCCCTCGCACGGCACGCGCGCCACTCGGTGTCCTTGTCGTG